TCTCTCTCTCTCTCTCTCTCTCTCTCTCTCTCTCTCTCTCCCTCTCTCTAAAATTGTATATGGTAATAAATAATAGAACATTGATTAAACAATACAGTATTTTATTAAATCATAACCAGGGATCAAATAATGAACAATAATACTATGCACTACACCGTTGAGGGAATGCAGTCATACACTATAACCTCCACATATACTTTAGTTAAAAATGTTGGATAAACTGTTACACAATGTAATCATTGTTTTTATGTAATTATAATTATTATAATAATTATTAGAAATCACCAATTTTTGCTGAAAAATAAAATTATATCTTTAATAAAAGTTTTTTACTTATGGACTCAATACAAGAGATATAGTGTATTGTGAATACAACCCAACGATGCAGTGCTGGAAAGTAGTGAATTGCCGGTCATTATTTGATGCATTTGATGGAGGATTACATTAATCGCAACTAAATCAACTAAAATTCTTGTTGTCATCGATTCTAAAATACAAACAATAAAAGCGTTTATTATGATGTATTCGCGTTGAGAGCCCCGCCGTCGGACACAAAGTTGATTCCCGTCACAAACGAGGCCTCGTCTGAGGCCAAGAAGAGTATGGCGTTCGCGATGTCTATGGACTCACCGACCCGTCCGACCGGGTATTTGGCACCCCTTTCCTTATATCGGGCCTCCGATTGCTCTTTCGTTAAGCCCACGACTTGAAGGAAATTAGTCCTAACGGCACCCGGACTATACAATTGACACAATATATTATTACTATTGAATAATAATTAAATTAAACGATTGATTACTTGATAACATTAACGCGAATGCCTTTTGGACCCAACTCTAGGGCCAGACATTTGGTGAACATATCGAGTGCACACTTTGATATACAGTACAGAAACGCTGTGGACATCTGTTTTTGTACAAACGTTTTGTACACAATAATTAATTTTCATTATAAATTATAATTAGTATAACATTTGATTTAATGCAATATAAACTCAATCATAGATTATTTACCGGTTTAAGTGCCACAATACTCGATATGTTAATTATATTGCCTTTACTTTTCTCCAAGTGTTCGACCGATAGATGTGTTAAATATATGACTGAACGGAGGTTTGTGTCCATTACTTCCCGGTATTTGTCGAGAATAGCCGTATCAGTGATCGGACAGCGCATACCTCTGCCCGCGTTATTCACCAAAATATCCAACCGTTTGAATGCACTGATCGTACTGTCAATCAGTCGTTTACAGTCGACGTCTTTACTCACGTCTGCCAACACTTCCAGTGGTTTCAGGCCTTTGGGCGAAACGGCCGCACATTGTTTGACCACTTCTGACAAGTTGTCGTCATTTCGATCATTGATCACCACTTGAGCCCCATATCGGGCGAACTCGACGGCAATTCGGGCGCCGATACCACCGCCCGAACCGGTGATCAAAACTATTTTACTTTCAAAATTTTTAGATGTGGACATTATTAGTGTAATATTATATGAAGTTTGCGAACTAATTGTTTGATTGGAATAAACTAATTTATAACCAATTTATTTAAACCAATAAATTAATATACAACACATTGTTTAGTATATATGTTTTCATTCACTTTATTTGCACTTAACATCTCATACTTAAAATTAACGATAGTTTAGGCTCAAAACATTTGATCATTTAATAACGGTATATAACATTCCGTATGTAACATAGATAAATAGAAAGTTGATAAAGCGCACCAACCAAGGGCATATAATCATTAATGCATAATATAATGATATGAAAATTATTGAGGCTTATCTGCGGTATATTTGTTATGGGAAAATATAAAATACTCATATGCATTTGAAATAAATTATTATACAGTATATTAATTATGTTTAAGAGTTTTTATTATAAACATATCAATGGAATATTTTTAATTTCGTAAAACATTAATTTTGTATTATATTACTTGTATTGCATTTTATGCTGTAGTGAATTACATCATCGGAGCGTTGAGAGCCCCGCCGTCCGACACAAATTGAATTCCCGTCACAAACGAGGCCTCGTCTGAGGCCAAGAAGAGTATGGCGTTCGCGATGTCTATGGACTCACCGACCCGTCCGACCGGGTATTTACCGTCCATTTGAACGTACAGTTCTTCTGCTTTTTCTTTAGTTAAGCCCATGACCTGAAGGAAGTTAGTCCTGACGGCCGCCGGACTACACAATAGACACAATATATTAATCATTATTGAACAATAATTAAATTAAATGATTGATTACTTGATAACATTAACGCGAATCCCTTTTGGGCCCAATTCTAGAGCCAGACATTGAGTGAACATATCGAGTGCACACTTTGACATACAGTAGAGAAAACCTCCGGCCGACTGTTTTTGTATTAAATACAAAAAGAACCATTATTAAATATTACATAATTACATTGTATATATAATTAGTTATTTATATTATGTTTAATTCAATATATTAATATAAACTCAATTGTAAATCATTTACCGGTTTAAGTCCCGCAACACTCGATATATTAATTATATTGCCTTTAGTTTTCTCCAAGTGTTCGACCGATAGATGTGTTAAATAGACGACTGAACGCAGGTTTGTGTCCATCAAATCCCGGTATTTGTTGAGAATATCCTTATCAATGATTGGACTAAAAACTCCTTTCCCCGCGTTGTTCACCAAAATATCCAACCGTTTGAATGCACTGATCGTACTATCAATCAGTCGTTTACAGTCGACGTCTTTACTCACGTCTGCCAAAACTTCCAGTGGTTTCAGGCCTTTGGGCGAAACGGCTGCACATTGTTTGGCCACTTCTGACAAGTTGTCGGCATTACGACCGGTGATCACCACTTGAGCCCCATATCGGGCGAACTCGACGGCAGTGACGGCGCCGATACCACCACTCGAACCGGTGATCAGCACTACTTTATCCGCAAAATTTTTTGATGTGGACATTTTGTTACGTGAAGCAAATTGATTCAAAGTAAATCAAATTGTCTATAAAAAAATCAATTACTTCGAGAAGTTTATATACCAATAAATATATTCCGTTCATTGTTTAGTACAATACAATAGTTTTCATACACTTAAATTGCACTAAATTTATAGTTTTTATTATACTTAAAATTAACTATAGTTTTGGCCCAAAACATTTGGACGTTAAATAACGGTATATTACACCTTATGTAACATTTAGTACATAGATAAGCCGCACCAACCAAGGTCATAATAAGTACATTACATTATATTATAATGCATTTGTATTACTTTATCTTATAAATTATAAATTTTACTAAACAGTGTGCAATGCATTATGTTGCTACTTCTTAAAATGCCCATAATTATTTTTTTAATTAGCTATTACAATTAGCTGTTATTGTATTGTAAATTAATTTTTTTAAAACTTTTTTTGTGTTTTAAGTTGAAATTATTTATCATTGAAATTGATATTATTTATATTACTCGTGGTCAGTCAAGTCTCTATTAGAGACTTGGAGTAGAAAAGCCAATTGTCATACACAACATTAAAATTATGTTTCAAAGTTTGGATTA